GCCACGCCGGTCCCAGCTTCTCCCCCAGGCTCGAGCTCCTGGCTCCATCGCATCCAGATCACTGCTGTTTCCTGTCCCCAATTCACGAAGTTCAACCCAGCCCTGGGTTTTCTCCCAACCACCCAGGCCACCCCCCATGGTCACCCCAGGTTGAGCTCTTAAGTTGTGTCGGCTGGGACCAGGATCAGGCTGACATAGAGACATTATCTCCCCTCTAGGCTTAGGACTGCCGCCTGGCCGGTGCAAACACCGGGCCTGACTCTGGTGGCAATAACCTTGTGTTGTGAGTGACCCTGCACTCCGGGTGCCCATACACAACAGGATCGACTGTTGTGGAGCGTATGGGTTTCCGGGCGTTTTCCTTAAGTGTCAGCCTGGGACCCTGTTCAGCATGCCAGCAACACAGGCCTCCACTGACAAGGAGGGGTGGTGCCTGAGGCGTATCAGCGGGGAATCGAACCAGGGTCTCCTACATGGAAGGGGAGAATGCTACCCCCAGACGACCACTGCCACACTAGTGATTTCTATTCGACACCTCCCGACTCAGAGCGTGTCAACGTGTGTGTGTAGCAGTGCTAGCATGTCCCATCTGCACACTGCACGTGGCCCTTGGCCTCAGCATGTGGCCTGTATGCTGTATGCCTGTCCGACTCCCGCCGTTGCTCACCTCTCGGACTCATCCATTCCGAGCCGGACACTAAGAGATTCGGAACGTCATTTAGGCGCCCAGGCTCCCGGCCAGCAACTCAGGAACCAAATAACCCAGATTTGTCTCCAGATGCTTCCTTACACTTCCCAGTGTCCTTTGTGGTTTTGGATGGGGCGTGACTGACTTCAGCCAAAGGCTTCAGGTTGCAGAGCCGCAGGGAGGATGGATGAGTCCCCAGTCTCCCCTCTCCAGCTGTGGTGAGCTGGAAGCCAGCCTGTGACAGCTTAAGATCCCCCCGGGCCAAAGGGCCTGGCTCTCCCAGCCGGTGCTCAGGGACGCCTCAACCCTTGTCTTAACGTGGAACCAAGACGCCGGGTCCGCTGGTCACTGCAGCACGGCCTGTCCCGTCCTGAGTGACACCAAGGGAGTTCCGGGCAGCACTGGCCACGTGCTGTTCTTGCCTCACCGGAAGACACGGCCCACAGCCGAATCAGCCCCGCACTGGCACTGGCCTGCTCGGCCTCATTTGTCACACCAGGCAACTGAGGCAGAGCCTTGGTGACTTGCCCAGGGCTGCGTGGGGTGAGCACGGGTCAGGGCCAGGCAGGCCCAGCCTCTGTCCACCTGCTAGGTCAACTCCCCACTAACCCCCGCCGCAGTGCTCGGTCAGGCTACAGGACGCCAGGGGGACAAGCGTACAGGGCTGCTCGGGTGCCCACTGGCCCCGCTGGAGGGAGGGATGGCCAAGAGCCTCTGCCAAGCCCCGAAGGAAGAGGAACAGCCAGTTAGAAAGAAATAAAGTTTATCTTTACTGAAAAATTTTTCCCCGCAAATGTTTACGTTTCCAGTGTAAGGCGTTACAAAAAGATATATCCAAGAAAAACTTGGCTTATCCGACGTGAAGAAGGGCATTAATTTACCAGGAGAAAAAAGAAGTAATAATAAATATATTATTTCCACCTAAAGGAAAAAAGATGCTTCTCTGGGTTCGAAGGCGGCAACAGAATTCAGGGCACGTATGCATCCTGCAGCAGCCGCGCCCACTCTGGTCACTG